CCTTTTGTAGAAATGTGAATATGATGTTTTAAAGCTGGGCAACAGAAGAGGGAAAATGGAATTGACAAAAGTTCATGCATCTAAAATAGGAAAATGAATATGTATATTATTTTCCCAGCCTTTTGATGGCATTAGTTCAATGGAAAATCTGAACAGCTAGTCTGTATTTTTGTTATTTTATTGAACCATTCTATCATGTATTCACATTCCTCCCAAAGGATAGCATATTGACACTTTATAGTCTGACTGAGAAAAGCAGTGACATAAACATTTTTTACCAAATAATCTTTTAAAAATTTACAAATTTCCATTTTGCTCTTTTTGCTATTATAAACAACCTTGTGCTTTGTTTGATGATCTCATTGACATAAATTCCTAGAGATAGAGTTATGAAGCAAAGGATATGTCTGTTTTTAAGAGTTTTGATGCATCTTATCAAATTGCTTTCTGGAAAGATTTGATGCATTTATAAATACTACACATTTTATAGTACCTCAGTGTCAGGTGCTGCACATTGCCTCACACTGTTGTCAGTGCTGAGTAATATAACTGCATTTTTTGGTCAGTCTGAGATAGGTGCAAAGGGATATTTTAAAACTTGTGTATCTTTAGTTTCTAATGGGTTTGACCCCCTACCCCCGCCCTGCCTCATGTCTTGGCTTTTAAATTTAGATTTTATTTTTATCAAAGCTATACTTGGTTTAAAGATTCAGCAGTCTGTAAAACTTATTTTGAAAAATAGCCGACTTCCATACTTCTCCTCCTCTCTGCCCACCCCACAAAAATAAGAGCTCCCTACTCACCCAGCTGATTCTTTTTCATTTACTTGCATAGTGTGAGCTAACGGGCCTCTATTGTCACTTCCTGCTCCTGCTGCATTCATTAGGCATTATCAGTTGATTTCCAGCTTTGAGGGGTGAGGATTTGGTTTTCTTCTATGCACCCAACCTCTGCTACACACATCCCTTCGACTCTAAAGAAGTTGATGCCTTTAATCAACTCCCTGTTTTTAACCCCACCCTTCCTTGTCCTCAGGAATCACCATTCGCTGAGCCTTTGAGGGAGGGGATTTAAAGGACCCCTCTGTTATTTTAGTGAGGTTATAGGATGAATGGATATCAAAATGTGTGTTCTGTCTGCCATCTTTAATTGGAAGTCCTTTTTCTGGTCTTTAGTAATCACTTTTATAAAGTAATAGTTAAAATTATGGGCTATAGAGTCAAGACTGTCTGGTTTTGAATCTGACTTTTCTGTTAACTGGCATTATGACCTCAGACAAGTTGGTTCAAATCTCTAAACCCCATTTTTTTTTCATCTGTGTCATAGAGTTAATGCGATACCTATCTCAGAGTGTCGTTGCGAGAATTAAATGTGATAAGGCATGCAAAGTGTTCTTCACAGTAGAATCTGCTGCCTGGCAGTATCTTGCTATCTGCCAGGCACTTAGTAGGTACACAAACATAGTTGTCGCTGCTGTTGTTACTCCTCTGAATTTCTTGCTCATGCCCTTGGCCCAGTTTTCTAATGGGATGCTTGCCTTTTGCTTCTTGATCAGACATGCCATATACACAGTCTGTCATTGGTCTTCTGTTTTTATTGATGGTACTTGGGATGTGTAATCATATTCCTACTGTTTCATGTTATAATCTCTACTTTTGTTGTCAGATTTGTTTTTTTGAAAGATGCCTGGTGGTAATAATAAGAAAGAAGGGTATGTGTGAGGGCGAGTGTGTGTGTGGGGGGTAAAACTAGAGATTATTATAGTATTTGGGGCAGTCGATAAAGGAGGACCTGAGAGGCTAAATGAAAAAATGATTATTTTTCATCATGTAAGAGAAAGAATTTTTTTTTTAACTCCTGAAGTGTATCACACTAGTTTATTTTGTGGACAAATTACCCTCATTTTTAAAAGCCTTCTTGAATGTTCTTCTTATCATCTACTCAGATGGATTTCATCTGAAAACTTAGAGCTTTCAGTTCAGTTTTTCCTTTAATACTCATTTCTATGAAATTGGATCCAAAGTTGATTCTCGAGGGATAAGATTTATCACATCCCTTAAGTTCACGGTATGTAAATAAATTTGCTTTCTTTTGGATATCGTAAATAAAATGAAATGGCAGATACATTGATATTTCAAGGTTGTATTTACAGATACTTAACTCATCCTTTTAGGTTTCATTTTGCTGGTTTGTCATTTTAGGCAGTATGGATTTATTGTTTTATTTGTATTTGTTTCGTCTTAGTTTTATAATTAATTAACTTTATGTTCTTTAAATAACAGTTCGTCTAAATTTGATCTCTCCACAGATTCGGACCAGGATGTAGCACTCAAACTTGCCCAGGAGCGAGCTGAAATAGTTGCTAAATATGACAGAGTAAGTATTCATATTTACTCTTTGACTAAGTTTTATTAGGAAAAAAAACATATAAATAGAAATGGATTTGCTTTTTGGAGAGCTTAAATTACAGAAGAAGTTTATTTACTTCATGTGACCATTGAAGTCATCTTTTTTCTCTGACTTCATCTCTAAATTTTCTCTCCCTCCTTCCCTCGGCTCTAGCCGCTCCAATCTCTTGCTGTTCTTTCAACACATCGGGCTTGCTCCTGCCTCAGGGCCTTTGCAGTGGCTTTTTCGTCTTCCTAGAACTCGTATATCCTGGGTATTCTCATGCCTCGTTGCCTTACCTCTTTCCTATCTTTACCCAGATAATACCTTCTTAGTGAGATCTCTCCCACACTGTTTGATACTTCCCCTGCGCCCCTTGCACTCCGTATCCCCTTTCTCTTCCTTATTTTTCACCATAGCACTTACTATGTCTATGTACCATATATTATACTATTACTTTGTTTGTTGTCTGCTCACACTCCTAGAATGTAAACTCTCTGAGGGTAAGAATTTCTTTTATTGATTTACTCTTGTATCCTAAATAACTAGAAGGTTCCTGACTCATACTAAGTATTTAATAAATATTTTAATATGTTAGTATGTAGAATTAAATACCCATTTTATTCATAATTCATATGTGATATTGAAAATTTAACCTGGATCTGAAAATTTCAATTTATACACTTGAAATAACCTCCATTAGCATTTTATCCTTATATTAGTTATGGAATCTGGTTTTTGATGCCCTAGGAAATCACAATTGTCGATGGTTGACTTGTCTCATTATTACCTTACTTCTCGAAGTCTGCAGTGAGTCTCAGCAGTTATTTATAAATGTCATATTTTATATCACTTGCATGTAATTTCATATGTGTTATTTTTGATTATTTGTGAGAATAACAGGAGCATAAAATTACAGAAGGCCATTTGGACTGTGCCCTGCTTCCAGGGAGCATACAGGCAGTGTGCAACTCACTTGTTATGTTCCCAGGTTCATTATTAAGTTGGTAGTTTGTAACATGAGACAGTTTCCCATTATTGTGATTAGGTTTTAGTGTAGTCCATGAAAAACCTAATTAATTTATTTGACCGCTTAACTGGTTTAAAACCAATAAGAACTATCATTCATTCATGCTTGCGTGCATTTTTTTTTTTCATGCAGCTAACACTTAGTGACCAGGCTATGTGTCGTGCCAGGCCCGGGGGATGCACACTATAGACATGAATTAGAGCACTCCATGCCCACAAGAAGCTCCCGGCCTATTCGGAGGAGAACACATGAGCAGACTATTATAAAATATACTCAGATGGAGGGGTCCACAGGACAGTTGGGTATTGAGTCTGAAATTTGAGTGGTTGGTATAGACAGTGACATTTGGGGTTCTTGCACCAACAGTGCTGGTTAGCCTTAAGGATAGAGTGGGAGAGCAGTGACTGAGGACAGAGCTCCGGGCACTCATACAGTGAAAGGCACCCATGAAAAAGCCATCAGAAGAAGAGTTAGAGAGGGACAAGGAGTGGCATGGCATGATGGAGACTCAGGAATAGGGAGTGAGCCACACTGACAGGTGCACCGAAAAAATCCGTTGGTCAGGGGCTGAAGCAGGCCCCCCCGGTTTTGGCAATGGGAGATCATTTCTGACCTTGGCAGGATAGTGTCAGAGCTGATATAGCTGTAAAGTAAAAATGAAGAGAGACAAAGCTGATAGCCCATTCTTCTGCGAAGTTTGGATGAAAAGACAAGAAATACTTTTTTTCTGAAACAGGTTCACTTTAAAACTTTAAAGTTCTGCAGTTCATTGCTGAGTAGTTTTCTTATTCTCCATTGCTCCCTCCTTCCCAGGTTCTCACAGGAACCCAAATCTGATCAAGGCTTAGCTGCATGTCAGCTGTTGTTGACATACAGTATCTTCCAAAGTTTGTAACTAGGAAATAGTGATTATATGCAAAAATAGTTGTTTTTTTTAAAAGTTAATTAGCGCGAACAATGCCTCATTTCCAACTCTTACTGAAGATGCAAAATATCCCAAGAAAACATCATTGTGACAAACTATAAGATATAAAGCTTTACATGAATCATCTGTAGTCTAGAGATTTTCAGAAAAGAAAACCTAACAGGTTGTACTGGAACTGGATGAAATTATATCCTAACTTTATGGAAGAAAGATGATGTACTTTAATATGATTGGAATAGTTGACTCTAAAACAAATAAATGTTCTATAAATGTTTTTATGTTAGTACATGAAAAATAATTTTTTTGGGTCTTTTTATTTTAAAAAATTATTTAGTTTTATAGATTCTCAATAACATCCTTCTTGTCCCCTATTATAGGGACGAGAAGGTGCAGAGATTGAGCCTTGGGAAGATGCTGATTACCTTGTTTACAAAGTCACGGACAGATTTGGCTTTTTACAGTAAGTTTCATAGATTGAAAGCTAACTTTTTTATTATAATGTTTCTGTGGACACCTATTATATTGATTTTCTTTATTTTTAATAACATTGCTGTGAATAAGATTCCAGGACTGGCCCTGCAACACGCTTTTTGTTATTAAATTCCTGGCATTTTTAACCTCTATGATTGAAATGAAACTATTTTGTAAGAATACAATTTTTATTATTTGTTGTATTTTAGTAAGAATATTAAGTGCAACAAATGAGTTATATTAATAATTTAGCAGAATTAAATGGAAATGAATAACAATTTGTATTTCCAAAAATAATTATAAAACATTTCATTTTACACAAATGCATTTAGAAAATAATTAGCAGTTATAACTTTAGTGTTATGCAGCCTGAAAACGAGCAATGAAAAGAAATGCCATTGATCTTCCTTATAGTTGTAAATGTATTCGTGTTATTGCTTCTCAAAATTAATTCCATTTATCCTGAGTCTGTTACATGATGAGCTGAGGGAGGTCTAGACCACTACAAAGTGGTTGAAAGGATTTTGACTCTTAAAAACATTCTGCAAATGATGCGAATCTGCCTGGTCTGGTTCTGGCATTGTTTGGTCAGACTCCCCTGGGCTGGAGACTTCTCTTCAACTCTAAAGTTTGTTTGGTTCCATATAATTCGATGATTAACTTACTTTTCATTCAAATGTATTCTTTTTCAGCCTTATTTATTATAAATAGGAAAAGGCCAGAGATTTTTATTTTATGACATATGATTAAATTTGAAGGAAAAAATACAATTTCTTGTATAGTTCGTTCATAGCAGTAACTTATAGCATTCAGACCTTGTTTCCTCTTTCTGTTCAGTTTTCTTCCATTTAGTAAGTATTTTGTTGTATCATGTTTTTATCAGGTAAAACAAGCAAACAGACAAACAGTTTGGGAGTTAGAGAATATGTACTCTTCCTGTGGCTTTGCGGGGCTCAGTTAACCATTTTATGCCTCATCTATAAACAGAAATCATTAACTGCGTACTTTACAGTGTAGTAGAGGACTTGAAGAAATAAAATGATAGACTTCTATATAAAGATCTGTACAAATGAGAGGTATTATTATACTTAATGGCATTAGAATACTCAAAATGTACTCTTGAGTAGTTATAATTAGAAAATTTTGGACTTCAACAGACTAACAGAGCAGTATTTAGCTATGATGAAAATACTCTTCTTAAACTAACCCCCACTTCCACTTTTTTTTTTTTTTTTAAGTAAATCATGTTTGGCCACAAATGTGGCAGGAAATGATCACACATTTGTGTGGGTTAATGTGCACATCTGAGATATATGAGTGAAGTTTTGAAGGACAATTAGCATTTAGCAATCAGCATTTGAACATTTAGCACTGTTAGGATTAGTGCGTCCCAAACTTGCCTGCACATTAAAGTCAGCTTGGAAAATTTTTTTTAAATAGATTTCTGGGATCTATCCCAGATTTCAGTTCAGAAGGTGGGATACTACTCAGCTCATTTTGACTTCCCCAAGTGTTTCTGATGGGAATGAGCCACTATAAAAGATGTTTTAATTATATAATAGTCTAATATAGTACAAAATATATATGAAAAATCTGTTTATTCCAAAAAGATCTAACAATTACCTGAATTCTCTTTTCCTGTTGCCTGAAACAATCTGAACTAGGTCCTGGCCCAAGAACCTAGCCTGTATTTGGCAGTCTAAAAATTACACTCAGTTATTTCACGTTTGTTTTTCACCCTCTCTGCTAAGGTCCATTTGGCACTAGTGGAGGGGAAAGTCAATCAATAGTTTATCTTAATAATGTTAGGTAATATTTATTGAGCACTTACTGTATCCCAGGCACTGTTCCAAGCTCTTTACATGGATTAATTTACTTATTCCTCTCAAAATCTCTTTGGCGTAGGTACTCTTTTTACCTTTTCATTTTGTTTAGTTGAAACTGAAACGCAAAATGGTCTCGCACCTTGCCCAGTTGTGCTGACAGCACGTGTCAGATCTGGCACGTGGACCTTAGCAGTCTTACGGCATAGCTTGTGTTGTGAACTTCTGCATTATACTGCCTGTTACTGCTCTCTTATATTTTTAATAAGAAAAACCCAGAAGAAGGCTTCAAAATGCCGAGGAAGAAAATTAAAGGGGAGAAAGGAGTGCCTAAAGAGAAAGGGTCCTGTTTGAAATGATCACATCTACTGACATATACTCATATAGCTAAGCTCTCCACTTTTTTGAAAACGAAGCCGATTGGTACCAGTTCTCATACTATCAGACTAATTTTTTATTTACTCCATGTTGCAGTTCATGAGGCAGTTCATGAGGCAGGCAGCGCAAATGAAAACAATGAAGCGTAGACATGCCTTTTAGCGTAATGTTAGGCTTTATTAAATTTCACCAAAGCCATTGATTTTTGTTTCAATGCCCACTTCAGTAAAACTCTTTTTTCCAGAAGTGGCTGCTGATGGCTTTTATTACTTGTCACTGTAGACCGGAGTTTTGTGTGCGGTGGAAGAAAGGCGCGTGGCCGGACATTTAGATATTGCTCGCTGTCACACACCTTGATGAAAGAGTATTTCTTTCTGCTATCTTAGTTCTTTGCAGGTTGGTTCTCCAATTTCGATTGGTTCTCCAATGAAATTGTGTTTTCAGTGTCAATATCAATACAATGCAATGACAAAAACTAACTTTGTAGCCTTCTCTGAGGGCTGCTGACTTCATACCTAATTATAGGCTTAGTAAGTTAAATTACTTGTTATGATATGTGAAGAAGGATGACAGTAATTAGCAAATGCAGTACAGGACTAACTTGGTTTTATAACAGATTTCACAATAAATATGAAATCTGTTGCCAAACCAGCTTGGCTCGATGCTGGAACAAGAATGTCTTTGTTTGGTACTCGGAACCGGGGAGTCCGCCCCAGTCGGTTTGCCTGTGATGGAGTGACAGACAGATTGAGCTTATTTAAGAAGTTAGAGAACTTTAAACATTTTCATCAAAAATAGTCATTGCTAGTTTGCTCAACAAAGAATGCTTGGTATTTGGATAAGATAGATAATGCTTTTAGGTCACAAGTTATTAATAGAATTAGAAGTTCTACCCAAAATATAAATTTAATAACAAGCTTCAGATTTTCATTTACTTATCAAAATGTTTATATTTATAAGATTTAGCTGATTGTAGTTTGCTACGACTTATAAATATTCGAAAACTAGAATAAAGGTGTTTTTGTTTTTAAAGAATATCTGTTTTGATGGCAAGGGCTTGAAAACTCTTTCTACCCATCTAATAATTTGACTCAAGTAAATCTAAGTTTAGACAAACTTAATAGCAAAAGAAAAACAATTTGATTAAAAATTGGGCTGAGGATCTGAATAGATGTTTTCCCAAAGAAAGACATCCATGTGGCCAACAGCAAAAGATGCTAACCATCACTAATCATCAGGGAAATGCAAATCAAGGCTTCAAAGAACTATCACCTCACACCAGTTAGAATGCTTCTTACCAAAAGGCAAGAAATAATAAGTGTTGGTGATGAGGATGTGGAGAAAAGGGAACCCTTGTGCACTGCTGTGGAAGTGTAAATTGGTACAACTACTATGGAAAACAGTATAGAGGTTCTGCAGAAAATTAAAAATAGAACTACTGTATGACCCAGCAATTCCACTTGTGGGTATTTCTTGAAAGGAAATTAAATCATCTCTAGTCCTATGTCCATTGCAGCATTATTCACAATAGCCAGGACATGGAAACAACCTAAGTGTCGACTGACAGATGAACGGAAAAGAAAGTGTCATATATGTTCAAACGTACATACTCAATGGAATATTACTCAGCCATAAAAAAAAAAAAAGGAAATCTTGCCATTTGTGACAACATGGATGGACCTTTATGGAATTATGCTAAGTGACGAGTCAGATAGAGAAAGACAAATCCTGTATGATATCACTTATATGTGGCATCTTTAAAAAAATTAACAAAGTCATAGATACAGAAAACAGATTGGTGGGTGCCAGAGGTGGGAGGTGAGAGGTAAGGGAAATGGGTGAAGGTGGCCAAAAGGTACAAACTTCCCGTTATAAGGTAATAATTCCTGGATGTATGTACAGCATGGTGACTGGAGTCCACAGTACTGTTTTGTATGTTTGAAAGTTGTGAGGGAGTAGATCTTAAAAGTTCTCATCACGAGTTAAAAAATAAAAAATCTAACCTAAGTATGTTTGGTGATGGATGCTAACTACACTTAATGTAACCATATTCGCATATATTTACAATATTCGCATATATGAAATCTTTATGTTGTACGCCTAGAACTAATATATTGTTATATGTCAGTTATGTCTCAATTTTAAAATAAATAAATGCACATTAAAAACATCTTATATAGAAAGAGCTCAATAACTATTTGGAGCTCATGATGGGGGCTACATAGGCAACCAGACTCTAGTGGGGTTGCAACAAGGCAAAAGGAAATGATGTAAAGTATTGGGGTGGAGGGAAACCAAGACCTTGGTTGCCTGCATATTCTGGCATCTCTCTCTCCCATGGTTTCCATAGCATGGTTTGAGGTTAAGGTGGAGGAGCGTGCTGTGTGCATTTCTGTCTCATCTTGAATTTCACAAAGCAGTTCATTCTGCAGGACCTGCCCAACACAGGCTGTGTGGCCTGAGCAGATGATCAGCTTCATTCCACAGACAAGTGCAAAACTTGGTTCTGATTCAGGATTGAGACTAGGCACAATTAGAGTAGGTCTGTCAGTCTTGTTTAGTAAATAAGAGACCAAAGAAATGCAACCAGCCACTTCAAAGAACTTGTCCTGTGGTCGGCAGCCATAGATGGCACATCATTTACAGTTAGGAATGTTCAAATTAACATGTGTCAGTATCAGCTCAAATCAGCTGTACAAAAGTTTGGCCTTGCCCAGGGCAGCCCACCCACCCAGAAATGCCATTCTTGCTGTGCACAAAGGGTGCCAAATGTTCTTATTCCTTCCAGCTGTCCCTGCTGACCTAATCACCTAGGAAGTACACTCCAGCAGTGTCTACAAGCCCTCTTCTGCCGGTCAATGAAGAACGGATAGGTGCACTTTTAAACCAGAAGTTATATCCTGTACCAGTCGTACATCATTGGCCCTAGTAATCAGGATTGCAAGTTAGGGAAATTTAGACTAATAGCATAATGAAAGCTATAAAACAACAACAACAACAACAACACAGTGTCACATGAATAAAAGTGAGTGGACACTTTATGTTTAAAAAAAAAAAAAGCTTTTTAAAATTTAATCCTCAAAATTTCTTGTCTTTTTGAGAATTGAGTTTTTAACCTTTTCTTCATATATTCCTGCACAGTCTGAAGATCTCATTGATCTTAATTTGAACCCACTGGGTTAGATCATGCTAAACAAATCTACATTAGACTAAGTGCCTGTGACTAAGTGAAAGTGCTATGAAATGAGGGGTTTGGACCATCTAAGATCACTTTCAGCTCTTAAGCTTTTGTCAGTTCCGTTGCTGCAGCTTCCTGGCTCACCTAAAGGCTCTTCGGAGTAGCAAACGAGTGCCTTTGAAAATACCGGACTCTTGAGTACAAATGTCTTGTACTCTGGAAAGTGGTTTTATTTGGTCTCAAGAATATGTACATATCATGGCCAAAACATCAATACTACTGAGATAGCAACTCGAAGCCCATAACTTTGTTTATGGCTAGCACATTGTTTCTACATTGCTGACGGTTAATATAAGAGTTTCAGTATATTTTATATTAGGTGATATCACAAAATTACCATGTCAGAAAAGTAAATTTGATCTTTTATTGTACATCTAAAAAACCATCCCCATTGAAGTTTTGACAAATGAAGCTTTCTCTATTTACAGAATAAACATCGAAGTTTTTTTCTTAATTCATATATCTGAGGCAGTTTTATTTCCTTATACAAATTTTTAAAAACAATCATTTATTATAGGCCATGGTTGGAGCTGGAGAGTGGAGGTGATAGTCTAGAGTAGAGATTGGCAAACGGTGGCCTGCAGGCCAAACCCATCTCAGCACCTGTTTTTGTAAAAAATATTATGGAAACAATACCACACTCAGTTCTCATCTTGTCTGTGTCTGCTTTCACAATGCAACACTGGAGTTGAGTAATTATGAAAAAGACTGTTGGTCCATAAAGCCTAAAATATTTACTGTTTAAAGATTTGCCTTTACAGACGAAGGTTGCTGTCTCCTGGTCTGAGCAGTGCTGTCCAGTAGAACTCTGTGTCTTGGTGGGAATGCTCTTTCTGTGCCTGCAGTGTCACCCATGGTGGCCTATGTCTGCCTATCGTGCACTTGAACTGTGGCTAGTGAGACTGAGTCACTGACTTTTAAATATTGTTTAATTTTAATCTACATTTAAAATTAAATAGTCACATGTGGCTAGAGATTATTAGACAGCGCTGTCTAGAGATTTGAAGATAGGGGACATGTGGTTACAGATTGCTAAGTGTTTTGTATTGAACTCGGTGGAATAGAAACTGTGTAACTCTTGTGATGACAAATGAATGCTTACACCTATCGTTGTAATGTTTTCAAAGTTCTCTGTGATTTCAGGTACTTCACATGTCCCGTTTTTTTTCTCTGCAGTGAGGAAGAACTGCCCTATCATAATGCATCTGTGGAACGGGTAAGGCCAGCTCTGCACTTACTTAACAGTTACGGACGAATTGTGTTTGTCAGGAAAATAAAACCCACTGCCTTTATGACTTTGAGTGCCATATTAAATGTAAATGAGGAAGTCACTATTAGAATTTGACCCTAAATATGTCACTGTGAGAAAGGAGTGAAATTAATGGTAAAGTAATTTTAGGAGACATTTGTTGGGGCTTCTGCTAGGTACTTGAGGAAAGGACAGGTAGCACTTCGGGAGAAGGCCTGCATTCGGGACTGGTGGTTCTCAGCCTAGGTGCGCTCCCGAGGCGGGGTCTACAGAGAGCTTGGCTGCTGGGGACCCACCGCAGTCTGTGAGCCAGCCTTCCTGCGGGGGAGCCTGGGCAGGTGATCCATAAGAGCTTCACAAGTGATCCTCTTGCCCCTGTGGCTAATAAAGTGCCCTTCCAGAGAGGCGGCTCTTTGGAACACAGCTGTTCCATGAGGTTTTAATCAGCTTTCCCACACACGACAGCAACCAAGTTAGTTTGCTGTAGTCAAAAAAGGATGCTTGGAGAAGTCATGTATGTTAAACCTGTCACCTTTTTTGGTAGCCCGTTTCCCATCTCTTTACTGTAGTTGTCTGGGGAGCTGGTTCCACGGCTGGGTATGCATGAGAACTGGGGACTGAAGGTTTTAAAGTTACTCAGAATCTCCCCCTGTCCCTTCTCTATTTTTTTTCTGTACTGAAAATGAATTTTAGAATGAGAGGGAGGCTATTGCTTGTGATTATCTCAGTTTGTTTTTATTTGATGGGGAAGAAGGCTGAGTTTCAGATAACAGAGATAAAATTAGAACTGGAATTTTAAAAATCTTCTAGAAACTTTCTAAAATCAAATTTTCTTAAGATAAAAAACTGTAGCATAACTTTGAGATGTAAACAAAATTGCCATTTTACATGTATAAAAACCCCTGTAGGTACCGCCTGCAATTGAATTCTCTTGTAAATGCCTGATTTTCTCTGTGTCATCAACATTGACGTTTTGGCGAAAGAATTTCTTTTAGTAGCTGCATTACTGCGTTGTGCTGGACTAAGTGCTGCCTAGAATATTAGGATCAATTAAGACATAGTTTCTGCCTTGGGCACGCTCGCTGTGCTCAGGGACTGAGGTAGCTCAAGCAAGGCGATGTGTGGGAGGTTATTGGTGGCTTTCGGGAGCACAGTATTAGTGAAATGAGATGGTAGTGCTGTGGTGGGGAAGGCAGCTTCCCATGGCTAAGGAATGAATGATAAGGAAGTGATGATAACAGTGACCACTTTCTAAATTCTGCCTCTGATGAATTTGTACCAGTCTTCTTTGAAATGGGAGCATAAGGATTTGTTTGTGTTCTCTGACCATTCTCTCTCTTGTCTAATACCCTGATTTCACTAATCCTTGGACCCCGCTGATACCACCACTGTTTTATTATCCCTCAGCACACTGATGTCGTCATTTTTCTCTCTTCCCAGCTCAAACTGGAAAGGCACAGTCACTCGCATTATACCTACACCTCCCCTCACCTCTCTCGCCTCTTCTGGGCCAATCTACAGCCCTAGTGAAAGCCAGTTTTTTGCTGCTGCAGTGCCTGCCCCTGCAGGACTAAGTGCAACTAGGAGAAGACTCACACTGATGGCCACTGGTTTACCTTTAATTCATGGCCGCAACCTCAGGAGCATGAGCGCTGCGTGAAAATCCTCCCATCTCTCCTGAGTGAATGTCTGCTCCCGTTTTAACCACTGCAACCTTTTCTTCTCTCCTCGACCTCCAGCACCTTCTTCTCCGTCCTCAGCTAATGTTCTTGTGTCTTATTTCTTATAAGAATAGAAGCAATCAGAAGAGCTTCCACAGGCTTTCATAGTCGCATCTACCCGCCTGTCGTCATCTGTGCCCAAAGCTCTACTTCCTGTGCATACGGATGCTGCTTGTTCAGAGTCATTCTTCTCTCTCCTGAAGTCTTTTTCTTTCTACTTGACTGTTCCCAATCAGAGTAAAATCTGTTCTTATTCCCATTTTGAAAAAAAGCAAACCAATCTTTTGACCCCACTTCCACCTCAGCTACTGCCCGGATTCCTTACCGCATGCTCTGTTGCCCTAACTCGTGAAAGAGGTGCCTGTGTACTCTTTTCCATTTCTTTCCTGCAATTCTTCCTTGGTCTCTAGTTACCTCTCTGCTGTTACATTGGGTAGTCGGTTCCCAATCTTCCCCTTGATCTGCCCGCAGCATTTGACCTGGTTCGTTCCTGTCTCGTTCTTACACTTTCTCCATTCTTGGCCTTCAGAACTCAATACTCTCCTCACCTTCTTTCCTCACTGGCTGCTCATCCTCAGTTTGCTCTGCATGTTCTTTGTCATCTCCTTGATCTCTACACTTTGGGGTGTCCCATGGCTCTGGCCTTGAACTTCTCTTTCCTGTCTGTATTTCTTCCATGGTAATCTCATCTAGTCTTTTGCTGTTAAATGCCAGCTGCGTGTTGATGACTTGGCTCCCTGAACCCTAGACTTGTGTATTTGTGTATATATATTCACTATGTAGACTTAGATGTCTGACTTAATGTATACACTTGGATGTCTAAGAAATGTTCAAACTGAGGTTTCTGTTATTCTCTTCAAATCCATCCTGTTAGCAGACTTCCCCGTCTCAGTAAATGGGAATGCCACTCTTCTAGTTGTTCACCATAAATAGGCTGCAGTTATACGTGAAAACTTCTGAGTTACTTCCGACTTTCTTTCCTTCATACCCCACGTTTCTTCTGTTAGCAGTCCTGTGAACTCTGCCTTCCCAATGTATTCAGAATCCAGTGACGCCTCACCAGCTCTGCTTCTGCCACCTGGGCCACAGAAACCTCTCTTCCAGAGCCTCTAGCTCCCTGCGCTGCCATTGACCCCTCTCTCCCTGCTCTTATCTGTTCACCAAAAGAGCCAGAGTGATCCTGTTAAAATAAGTAAGATCATGTTGTTCCCTAATCGCAACATTGTGGTGGCGCCTCATCTTATCCACAGTAAGAGGGAGAGCCCTTAGAATGACCTGCAAAGCCCTGCGTGACCTGGTTTCTGTTAAGTCTCTCATCTTATCTCCTGCTTTCTCTTGCTTACGCCCTGGCCTCCGTAGTGCTTCTCAGGCATGCCGGCCGTACTTCCTCTTCCAGGCCCTTGCCCTGGCTGCTTTCTTTCTTGTGCTCTTCCCCCTGATAGTGACAAATCTCAGTTCCTTCATGTATTTACTGACATGTCACCTTCAGAAAAACACCCTCTCTGGCCATCATATCTAAAATTGGGAACCGAGAGGTTATGATTAATTACTCCTTTCCCTCCTTTATTGTTCTCTGTAGCACTTAACATTATTTCCACACTAAGTATTTTACTTATTTTACTTATTTTTGTTTGTTTGTTTGCCCGTTTCCTCGCTAGGATGTACTCTCTATGAGGGGGTTTTACCTGCTTTGTTCATTGCTGTATCCCCAGAACCTCAAGCAGTTGTACTTAGTATGTGTGCACTAAATGGTGGTTGAATGAATGACCAAATAGATGTAATGAGTGCATTAGAACTAAATATGTTGATTTAAAGACTGGCAGAGATTGTCCTTTTGAGCATTAAATGTGTTTTGTTTGAGAAATCAGAGAAGAATTGAAAGGTGTAACAAAAGTTATCCATATTTGGCAAAATGTAAATCTGGCGACTCAATATTGACTTCTCTCTCCATTGTCCTGAAAGTCCAGCAGTCTGGGAACCAGTGTGATATAGAGGATTCAAGAAATGAGACAATGAAGAAAAGAAGAAATATAAGAAAAAAGCTAGTAGAGGGATGCTAACAAATTTTTTATTTGTTTTTTAAAGATATTTGCCTGTGCAATAAAAGGTCTGCTACATAGTGCAATCAAGCTTATAGTTAATTGGTTGTTTGAAGAGTTTAATATAATAGAAAGTCACTAAAAAAGTGACCTACATACACCTTAATGGTTTAACATGAGACACAGTTTTATATTCCTTGGCCAGTCTTTTATTGGGAGAGGAGCAGGATTCTGAGGCTGCTGATTGAGATTCCATTATGCCTTTCATACATAAGCTGCACTCATATTGCATGGTCTGCCTTTTACAGTTTTGGTTTCTTTAAACTAGAATGAGAACTTAGACACATGCAAAGCAGTATAAGGCTAGAAATTTTTTAGTTTATCAAGATTTCTCCCAATTTTTCTGGTTTAACTTTAGTTTATGTATTCTTCAGTGACTGCCAAACTCTGGCCATTTCTAGGAAACTAATAAATTCTACATGTATGACTTCATTGAATAAAATCAGTGGAATGATAGCCTTGCTGAAATCTACAAGTGTTTATTAATCTTTACAAAGCATACACACGAAGCATGCACTTCTTGTCATTTGGGAAGACTTGTGCACTAATGCAGTCAAGTAATCATGGCTTTTGTTCCAGGTTTGCCAGTGTATTATTTTACATAAAGCGGTTCTCTGTTTAAAACAAGGTTAGTAGTAGGCAGTCCCTTATAAGAGGATTAGTGTTGATATTTGCAAAGTGCTGTGGGTTCCCCCAAACAGGCATTTATAACAAATAAACATAACAAATATCTTATTATGTTTACTCTGCAGAGAATAATATTAATAATGGATCATATTGTTTCTTTCAGCTTATTGATGTTTTTAATAAGGAGGAAAGGATATGTAAAAAAAACCTATGAATTTTTATGGATTCAGCCATTCTTGTATGTGGCACAATATCTTGCATGGCTTACAAACTAATTGGAGCCCATTTATATCTTTCAGAACTATATTTTAATTTTCTGTGGTTGGAAATATTACTCAAAATATATGACTGATAGACTTTTTCAGTGTTACTTTTGTCAAAACTGGACGCTTTCCTTCTTGTACTTCTTGTCCAATCCTGACCTCTGCTGGTGAGGTCTAGGTGTGCGTGGCTCTGGTCAACTTCACCGTCGGTCATGCATCCTAACATTCAGATAGGAGAGACAAAAAAAGCAACTGAA